CCTATGAGGACAGGCTGAAAGAATTGGGGCTATTCAGCCTGGAGAAGAGGAGGCTCCGGGGTGACCTTATAGCGGTCTTCCAGTACCTCAAGGGGGCCTACAGGAAAGATGGGGAGAGGCTATTCAGGAGGGCCTGTTGTGATAGGACAAGGGGTAATGGTTTTAAAATAGAGGGAGGTAGATTCAGGTTGGATATTAGGAAAAAATTTTTTACCATGAGAGTTGTAGAACACTGGAACAGGTTGCCCAGAGAGGTGGTGGATGCTCCATCCCTGGAGACGTTCAAGGCCCGGTTGGATGAGGCCCTGAGCAACCTGATCTAGTTGGAGATATCCCTGTTCCTTGCAGGGGGGTTGGACTAGATGACCTTTGAAGGTCCCTTCCAGCCCTAACCATTCTATGATTCTATGATTAAAACAATTGTTCACTCCAACAGCTTAATCAACAGCACAAGTCAAGTTGTTCTTGCAGAACTGAAATCTTCCGGGTGTCAAAAATTGAAAGGTGTAAACCTAGAACCTGATACCCTTTCCATGCTAGACTTTGCTATAAGCAGTCCATCTGTGAGAGATCTGAGCTATGGCTAACAGGCGTGTGGCAGGTGCCAGATTCCATGCAGATTCAGGTTGGAAACAATTTCATTCAGATTTCTTGGGGTTTTTTCCAAAAGAAACTCTGCCAGAATACAGCTGCACCACAGATATTAAGTCAATCTCTACCTTCCTGTTTGCTTTTTCTGGTCTTTTGTTAGCTATGACTTTCCATAAGATTATTTATTTTAACTTGCAGATTGGAAAATGCAGAGCTTCACAACTCCAATGGTACTATAGAATCATAGAATGGTTACATAGCTCTTGTAAGTGATCAACATGCAGTGTCATTCAATATGTTAAAGTACTTCGAAACCCAGAAATGAGTAGCCAAACATACAAGGTACTTAAAGTATGGTGGTGAAGGCTGGTATTCTTCAGGGATGCTCAGGCTGATATTGTTTAACATCTTCATTAGCAGTCTAGGTCATGGGATACAGTGTATCATCAAGTTTGTGGGTGAAACTAAATGAAGGCGGAGTGACTGATACGCTGGGGGGGTGGGCAGGGCTCTATTTAGAGTGACCTCAAACTGGAAGAACACAGAAGCCTCTCAAAATTCTACAAAGACAAGTGCAACCTCTTGCATTTGTGGAAAAAAATCACCCAATGTCTTGGTAACTGCTGGGGACAGACTGCCTGGGCAGCAGCTCTCCAGAAAGACCTGACAGTTCTAGTGGATAAGAGGTTGAATGGGAATTGGCAGTGTAGCCGTGTGGAAGCAAAGGCCAACTGCATACTGACTTGTATTAGAAATAGCACAGAGTGGAGAAGTGGATTCCCCTTCCTACGTGGCATTTGTGGTGCCCCATCAGCAGTCTTGTGCCCAGTGCTGCCCCCGCAAAGTCAAGGGAGATGTCAACAAACTGGAAAAAGTCCATATACTAAGGTGGTTAGGGGAAGAGCCAGACTCTTCTAAGAAGTGCACAATAAAAGAGTAAGAGGATGTTCTCACAAGTTACAAGGAGAACTCTGAGTATATGGAAAAAACCTCTTCCCAGGAGGATGGATAAGCGCTGAGACAGGGGCCCAGAAATGTTTTGTTCTTTTCCTCCCTCCTGTCAGCTCCCCCACATGAAACTTTTGCTTTTTATATTTTTTTCCTGTGTGCAAACAAGATTTTGCTGTTTTACTGCATTTGGATGCCCTCTGGTGTCTGAGTGAAGATTCTTGTCAATAAGCAGTGGTAGTGGACAGCCCTTGTGGTCCAGTAACGACACTGATCTTTCAGTTCTCACCACTTGGTTGCTGAGGATGGAGATATTGGAGAGTCTATACGGTCCCATAATGATTAGGGAAAAGATGATGTTTTAGGAGTCGTTGTGGCACACAGATAAGGGTAGCATTTTTCAGTCTTTTTTTTGCTCTCAGTATTGAAGTTGGATTTCTTAGTGATGTCTTTATGCTATCTCAGTTCTCTACCAAAGAGAGGGGGAATTGAGTAGCATTGGATCCCTTCTAAGGATAAAAGGAGTTACTTCCAGCCTCTGGCTTCACCACTATGATGCAAGAGTGGTACCAGAAGGTCTCAAGAAGTAGAAATATCATGTCTTCTGACACCTCTCAGTCTCAGACTTGGATTCTTGTGGAGGTGCTTGGAGCTCCAGACATGTTTGAAGTCAACTGAGATGTGTTAGGGTATGTGGATGGGAGTGGACTTTTTCACAGTGGTTCTGTCACACTCAAGCCGTGACACACTCAAGTATGACAGCTTCGTCACAGGAGCTATAAGCTGTTCTATAATATCTGTAACATTGTTTATTGTAATTTAGTTAATGGAGTTAGCTGGGTAATTTTGAATTTATAAAAAATAGAGCAAAGTAATAATGTTATCTTAGTTTTATTACACTTATTGAAGTAGAAATTAAATCCATGGAAAATAAAGTATTATGACAAACTGAAAGAATGGGCTTCATAATTATGATGTGACTGCCCTAATGCAAAATGCGTGCTTCTATTTTAATGTACAGGTAAGCATAGTTCCTGTTTAATCTTAAATAACGACCTGTTTGCTACCAGAGTATTAGGACCAAACCCAGTAAAGCCAAGCTGTTTTCTTGCTTGTGACTCTGTTTTGACCCTTCAGGATTTCTCAGCTTCTCTAACTGTTGTTGTATGTCTTTTCATTCTGGACCAAGTGTACCAAATTCAACTGTTGTACCTTGATAATTACTTCTGAGTACAGATTTTGGTATTGTATCTTTTTGTTCTGTTGTTGATGTAATTTATTAGTTTCCTTCAGAACTGTTACAGTCAAGTGTTTGTATAGTTGCCTTTTTAAAATAACGTTCTTTGTGCAAAACCCAAAAATCCCGAGGAAACAACACTTTGAAAAAAACTGTTACAAGGTAAGACAAGTTTGAGCCCTCACACGGGTGTCATTGGTAGACTTAAGAGATCAGAAGTATCTGAAAGGAAAATGCTGTTCATGGTAAATACAAAAAGTACATGTGTACATTCAGACCTTTCTGTTTTGGTTTGTTTCCTTTTAGCAATTTTTGATTGCCACAATAATTTAAATTACTATGTATAGGTAATTGTGTTTTGATCTCCCTTCTCATTGGGAAGAACTTTGGTATGATTATTTGCCATGCTTTTCATGAGTACTGAGTTGGTTTACTTTTTCAAATGTGTATCCAAATCTAGGATGTGCTGATGGAATTGCTGGAGCAGTGTGCTGACGGACTCTGGAAGGCAGAACGCTATGAACTAATTGCTGACATATATAAACTTATAATACCCATTTATGAAAAAAGGAGAGATTTTGAGGTACTAAATTAATCATTAGTAAATTTGAGCAAGAAAAAAAAAATCCTAAGTTTTCTAATCTAACTGCATGACATGTTGCACATAACAGGAGTATTAAAATCGTAACCAAAATATCAATGTGTTGAAATTTTTGTTGTTTTAATTTTAAATAATTAAAATGGTTTTATTTAAATAAATGTAAATAATTAAAAGTTAATCTTGCATATTGTCATTCTGATACAAGTGCTAAACCTATTCCTAACTATGATAGAATCTATGATTCTATGATTCTAACCGTTCAATAAAACAATGTTTTTAGTTATTAACTACAAGGATATCATTCTTTGTTGTTTTAAGATAGGAGAGTTCTACATTAACCCCTTGATTGTTTTGTTTTATTTTTAGAGACTTGCTCATTTATATGACACTCTTCATCGAGCATACAGTAAAGTAACAGAAGTTATGCATACAGGCAGGAGACTGCTGGGAACATATTTCAGGGTAGCATTCTTTGGACAGGTGAGTATTATTTAACTTTCATTTGTCTGCTTTATGCAGGAAGAAAAACCTGAATTTATTTTACAAGGTACACTATTTCATCTGTATTGATACTGTGACATAAAAAGCACATGGAATGTCTGTAAGAAATAAACTTCATCAATAATTTAGTTTAAAACATTTATCAATTCCGATACAATTCTTCCTTGTTTTCCTCAGTAAATTTTTTGCCTTTTTTTTTTTCTTCTTTTATTTACTACCTTAAGGCAGCGGTAAGTTTTCTATAACATCGGTTCTTAGCAATGTATTGACTTTATGTCTGTAGTGCTACAGTGTGGTTTGCAAGGCTGCTTCTTAGATTGATATGCATTAATAGCCATTGCAATTCAAAAAAAACCCCGTTAAGTTCCATTTAGAGAACAAATCACTCTTTTCTATGCATCAGTATTGCATGCTTCAAGCAAAAGTTCTGGCTGTGTATTGGGCAGCTTCACATCCTCTAGTATATGTCTAGAATGCGTATGTATCAGTGCGGTATCACGCAGTATCAAGCAATACACGGTCTACATGCATAGCCCAGTTGCTAACTGTTCAGCTGAGCATGGAGAATTGTAAAATACTCTGAGCAGTTTAACTTTACATGTATTCTGTTGTCTTTTATAACTTTATAGCAATACCAGTTTACAGACAGTGAAACAGATGTTGAGGTAATTACAGTAACTGCTTACAAAACAAGCAATGCAGTAAAAGCTACTGCATTTCACCTTAGTTTGATGTGGGTATTCTTGTCAGTCTAGCCTGTGTTTATACATGATATGTTGTGCTTTTCTATTTTGTCTGTTTCATTTATGACAAAAATAATTATCTTCTGATTTCAAACATGAACTGGGACATGGCTTGTTGTTTTAAACCAGTGACCTGTTTCACTTTCCACATGTTCTGTATTGCATTTAGTTATGGTTTTAAAACAAATGCTTTATGTAATTATAATAAAGAATTATATGCCAATATAGTACAACTTAAAATTAAGATTTTTGCATAAATTAAATTTGATTTTCTGGAATTAATTTTTTATTACTAAAGAAATCTTTCAGATCATTTTTATGTAAACCATTGCTAAAATACTCACTTGTGAATTGAATAGTCCTGTTGGGCAACAATATTTCTGTTTTGGCAAGTGAAACAGTGCTGAAAGTTCACTTTTAAATAAAAGTGAAGAAAAGTTGTCTTAAAGGCTTGGCATACCATAAATTTAAAACAAACTTTTAAAATTTTAACTGTATGTTTCCATTATCTTTCACTCATTCTGTAGTAGAGAATTACATTTTCCTGGTGTTTTTTTTATTCTCTTAGGAATCCTTTTTTACTTAGATTTTTATTTCTCTTTTTTTACATTTGCTTGAATCCTGATGTTAAGTGTTGATATTTGTTTTGAACCACACACATTATGTTCATCTTAATCATTGTCTTATGTGTTTTTTCCCAAGTGTTTGATTACTTTGTTTTTTACAGGGATTCTTTGAGGATGAAGGTGGAAAGGAATATATCTATAAAGAGCCTAAACTCACGCCTCTCTCAGAAATCTCTCAGAGACTGCAAAAACTCTACTCTGACAAATTTGGATCTGAAAATGTCAAAATGATCCAGGATTCTGGCAAAGTATGATCTTTATTCTCTTTAAAAAAAATTGAGTATATTACTTTCACTAATCCACCTGAAATACTGTGGAGTCACTATCTGTTACTCATTTGGTACACAAACATGTGTCTAAAAACTCTACTGTTTAAAGGGCATGGGAGAAGTATCCTCTCCTGTTAAGAACAAATTCATAGTATTCCCTCTCAAAATAATAATTGTGTCTTAGAACAAATTTGAATTATGATCATATCCTGTGTTATCTTTAGCTGTATTTCTTGCTAGTTCATGCACAGTCATTCCTTGGAAGTTTTTTCCCTTTTCTGCACCTTGAGAGCAGAGTCCAAACTTCCTTCTGAAGTAAAGAGCAGATCCCTCTTCTGAGAAAAGTACCATATGTAAATAACATTTTAATTCTATATCAGTTGTTCTTGTTATCCTTTGCTTATGTTTCTGAGCCTGTAATGCTCACACAAAGTCACGTGGTTAAATCTGGATTTGTCATAGGAAATGCTTTACTTTGTAATTGAAGCTCAAAATTGGTGAACTGAAGAGCGTTACGGTATCCTGTATGCTGAGAAGAACAAATACTGCACAGGCTGCCTCTCTGCATTCCTTTTGTTCCCTTCCTCAGCCAATTTTTAACTTGTGTTTGGATTCAGCCTTTATGGTGATTTTCTCTTATTATAACTTACTGTCTCTTCTGTTCCTCGATTCTACCAGTAAGATCACAAAGTTCTGTGCTTCTTGGCCTGAAAGGGCAGCAATGGTAGACTTTTCAGTATTGGAATTTTAAAAGGAGAGGAGGACTTATGCAAGGGCTAGATTTCATGCTGTGGAAGGCAAGAGATTTATATTATAACCTCAGATTTTCACAGCTCTTCCAGTCTACTCTCCTGAATTCTTTACAATTAATTGTAATGCGTGTGTTTGTCAGCATTTGTAGGAAGCGTTTTCTATCAGCTGTGTCAGAATGACTACATAAATTACTACTGAAGTTCCAGTCCAATAATCTTGAAAACATTGCAGATTTAAAAAAAAATAAATAAATCAAGAAGCGTATTACAATAAAAATGGATAACAGCAGGGAGACCTTAGCTCTGTTCCCAGTTAGCTCCAGGACTTACGTGGTGACTTCATGTTTGTATTTGCATTGTTATTTTTCCACTTAGTTTATAGAATCATAGAATCATAGAATGGTTAGGGCTGGAAGGGACCTTCAAAGGTCATCTAGTCCAACCCCCCTGCAAGGAACAGGGATATCTCCAACTAGATCAGGTTGCTCAGGGCCTCATCCAACCGGGCTCATTTCACTCAGAAGTGAAATGGCTCAGAGACAGGCAGAGATGACATGAATATTTCACACAGGACTAAAACGGCAGGCAACAACTTTTGGAAAGATGCACAGGTTTAGGGTGCCCTCTTTATCCTATGGCTGGGGGAATATACAAAAAAAAAAAAAGAAAAATCCTGGATTCATTTAAGGACCCTTTTGGGCAAAGACTTAGGAGGCCTTATCTATCTGGAGCCCCCAACATAAGAAGGACATGGACCAGTTGGAGAGGGTCCAGAGGAGGGCCACGAAGATGATAAGCGGGCTGGAGCACCTTTCCTATGAGGACAGGCTGAAAGAGTTGGGGCTGTTCAGCCTGGAGAAGAGGAGGCTCCGGGGTGACCTTATAGTGGTCTTCCAGTACCTCAAGGGGGCCTACAGGAAAGATGGGGAGAGGCTGTTCAGGAGGGCCTGTTGTGATAGGACAAGGGGTAATGGTTTTAAAATAGAGGGAGGTAGATTCAGGTTGGATATTAGGAAAAAATTTTTTACCATGAGAGTTATAGAACAGTGGAACAGGTTGCCCAGAGAGGTGGTGGATGCTCCATCCCTGGAGACGTTCAAGGCCAGGTTGGATGAGGCCCTGAGCAACCTGATCTAGTTGGAGATATCCCTGTTCCTTGCAGGGGGGTTGGACTAGATGACCTTTGAAGGTCCCTTCCAGCCCTAACCATTCTATGATTCTATGATTCTATTGGTACTGGAGACTAGTTGCTGCTTTTTCCACATTAAAGATTTGCCAGTCCATGAGGCTCTTACTCATCCAGTTCTATAAACAAAATAAATGGAGTAGTGAAGCCTTTTATTTGCCCTGCTCCCACCACTGTATTCTTTGGAACTCTTGTAGGGTGTCACAGTTGAGACAGGTTGGGAGGAGTGCCTTCTGAAGGTGATATCTGAACTATTTACAATGTAGGGGTTTATTTTTAATTATTAACTTTTTTTTATCACTAGCAATTTTTGATCTCCAATCTACTGTTGCATCAGCTGTCATGGAGGACAAGTATTTGTTTCTGGGTTTTCTGTATCTGTGCCTTCCAGTGTTAATCATGGGTATAAGTCTGTATTATGTTTTTTTTTGCAGTTCTACATACAGCTATTAACGATGGTTAAAAAAAACCAACCCCCTCCCCCTGCCAAAAAAAAACCAAACACAAAACCCACAACATGTTGTAATGCATCTAGCTGTGTCGTGTCCCTAGTAGATAGAAACTGAATGCAGAGAAGTCCTGTAAGCATTAATGTTTCCTGTGTTCTCAGTAATTTACAGGTTAAGAGACCAGATTTATTTTCTGAAAGTTATGTGACTACAATTAAATCCACTTTATTCACAATGTATCTGTTTGGGGGTTTTGTCATGTTTTTAAGGTAAATCCCAAGGATTTAGATTCAAAATATGCATATATTCAAGTTACACATGTAATTCCATACTTTGAAGAAAAGGAGTTGCAAGAAAGAAAAACCGATTTTGAAAGGACTCACAACATTCGTCGCTTTATGTTTGAGATGCCTTTTACTCAAGCTGGTAAAAGACAAGGAGGAGTAGAAGAACAATGTAAGCGACGGACTATTTTGACAGGTACTGATTGAATGGAAATTTCCTTTAAAAGAAAACTGCTGTTTTGTTTTTTATACTTAATTCTCGATACTAGGTTTTTCTATATGTTATGTATTTTGTCAGAAAAGTCTTCTAAAGAAGATTTCACACGTGACTGTTGAAGGTGACAAGAATTGCAAAGTATACCAAAATACTTTTAGACAAAATAACTTCTTAAGATTAGTACATACTTGAAAATAATACTCAAAAATATTAAATGTATATCATTATGTGATTTCTTAACCCTTAAGTATTGGAAAAAGAGAGTAAAATCTCATATTTGGCTATGTTCTAACTACCCTTCACTTTTAAGTCATTTGAGGTTTTTTTTAATAATGAAACATCAGTATCTCTCCCTTCACCCTTCCCTGTGCTCACCTCTCTTCACTATAAAACATCAAAGAGTGGGGGTATTATGCTTGCTAGTTTGAGTATGGGGGTTTTCAGCATTCTTTCAGGTTTTGGATTTGTTAAAGGCAGCATTAGTTCTTTTGGCTAAAAGCAGCTAAAAGACCCTGAAGGCAGATTCTGGTTTGATTTCCAGCCTCTATTTCATTGTGACTTTGGACTAATCGCTGTGCTTTAGTTTCCCATTTGTTAGTTTTAGAAGGGAGAGAGAGTGCTCATCTATCTCTCCATAGACTCAAATTTTAAAGAGGTTTAGTTCAGCAATACAAAACATTTTATTATAATTTTAAGAGGGATAATTAAAAGTTATGGTGCATTTGGTGATGTTTCTGTATAACATGTAAATCTGAATTTGTGAAATAACAAGTTGCCCTTTGACTGGAAGTTGGAGCATTAACTGAAATGATGTAATTCTGTTCTGTACAGATTTTTCCATTTCACCTACTTAGTCCTTTATAGCAATCAGCTAAAATACTTTTCATATTTTTAGTGAAAACTAGACTTTCAGATTGGTTTCTTCAAGGAATAATCTTCAAATAATTTTTTTGTCTTTTTTCCTTAAGCTTCGAGAATTGTGAATCTGGAGTCTAATTTTCCTTGTTCTTAGAAAAAGACTGTTATGTATTTTGTCTCTGTTAAGTGTGATCTTCTGTATCACTTAATATAGTGATAAAACCAGATAAATTACTTTATAATGTCAGCTGTCCAAAGCTAGTACTTATGAGGAAATAGAAAATATAACCTTGCTATTTTTGATTCTTCTTCTCTTTGAGATACGTGGGTGATAAGCAATTCTTTTTGCAATTCTGATATGGATTAAATTCCCATGGTTTGTTTCTTAGTTATTAGTAGTAGCAGTAATGACAATGATCTTTCTTTCTTTCTCATTTTCTTTGTATGCATATATACATTTTCAATATTTTCTTTCCTTGTATATTTGGTAGTACTACTGATTATAAAATATGGTATTAAATTGGGCACCCAATTACATCAAAATGAGATTTTAACATAAAATTCTATCAAAACACACCTTATTCAAAAACCTTTCTCTAACTATATTGAACTTGTTTCCATCCATAGCTATACATTGTTTCCCATATGTGAAAAAGCGCATTCCAGTAATGTACCAGCACCATACTGATTTAAACCCAATCGAAGTAGCCATTGATGAAATGAGTAAAAAAGTTGCAGAACTTAAACAGCTTTGTTCTTCTGCTGAAGTAGATATGATCAAATTGCAGCTGAAGCTGCAAGGAAGTGTCAGTGTTCAGGTAAGACCATATACTTGGCCATTCAGCTATTTTGCTGCTTCTGTCCCTGAAAAATTACATAAAGTATCTTACCATTGGTTTCTATTCTGTATATTCAAGAATGTCCTGAATTAGAAACATGCTAACTGTTTGCAGTTATTTCCAGAGTAGGAAAAGCAGTAAGAGTATTTCATGAAAGCACTGATCATGGGCATTTACATGAAAGGACTAAAATTAATCTCTGGAATCTACGGTGGTCCAAGCCCCACCAGGTTTTGGTGTAAAGCTGAAACTACCATAAAATAGTGACTTCCCATATGAGGTGGAATTAGCAGATTTTGCCTAGATGTAGGTTCAAGGTGGTCATTATTGCTTTTGAATTTTGGTAAGATCTCTGGGGAGATGAAGAGGGAGTGCCAAAATATAGGACGGTAATAGTAGAAAATCTCTCTGTGCAACATTTTGTTTTACCTAAGGCAAGGACTGAATGTATAAAGAAACCATCAGATTCACCTAGAGGCTGCATCATGCAGTTGGTAACGTACAGATCAATATGGTAAGGGTCTTAAAAATGATAGAGCAGCACTTCTGTCATTGCATTCTTAACAGATTAAGATCAGTGGAACACTAAACACAGTCATCTGAATTGAACTGTAGTCATATTGAAGAGAAAATTAAAAAAAGAACAAACCAAGGTTCCAGAATCAGCAAGTTGTCAAGCTAGTGCCTGGGATGAGAAGGGAGGGACTTTTAATTTGAAAGAATGATAGAGATGAGTCAGAAATCCTTGAATCCACTTTTTGTGTGGCTGCCATAATAGCACAATTAAATTTCTGCTAATTATTGCAGAATTTCCAGCTGAGAAGAATGTTTTCAATAGATAAAGAAACTAAACAGTAGTAGATGTATATTTAGCTCATTTTCTTCATTTTCCCACCCTGATTTCATAAACAGAGATGACAAATTGGCAATATCAGCAGTTACTTTGCCACACGATCAAAGTGGTTTCTTTGTGCCAGGACGGGTTCTTACAGAGTGCTGGAGAGACCTCTCCTGCTCTTATGTCCCAACTCCAGCAGTTTTCTTATGTGTTCTCCTAAGAGAAGCAAATCGGACACCTGTAGTACCTGTTATTGCTAAGACAATATAGCAGAGAACTGACTTTATTTTGTAATTCTTGTGCTTTTTAGGTTAATGCTGGTCCATTAGCATATGCAAGAGCTTTCTTAGATGACACAAACACCAAAAGATACCCAGACAATAAAGTGAAGCTACTAAAAGAAGTTTTTAGGTATGTTTTTCAAGGTGGGGGGGAAAGACCTGTTTTTTGGTTTCCTTTTTTTTTCTAGACTGATAAGACTTTTTCTTAACACTTTTAACTTCTATGGTGTTCTGACTGCTTTAAAAACATACTTTAGGCTGGCATTTTGAAGTAATCTTTTGCATTTTGTATTCCTGATAGAGATTTTTTTTTTTATATCTTTTTATCTAAATCAGGCAATTTGTTGAAGCTTGTGGGCATGCTCTGGGTGTAAATGAACGACTTATAAAGGAAGATCAGTTGGAATATCAAGAAGAAATGAAGGCCAACTACAGAGAAATGGCAAAAGAGCTTTCTGAAATAATGCATGAACAAGTACGTGCTGAAATTAAATTGTACATATCAGAGTTCAGAACGTAGCTGTAATGTGAACCCACTAGGAAAAGTGTATGTAATGTTTTACACAAAAGGATTGCTGCTTTTTTTTTTCTGTTGGAGTATAAGCATATCATGGAATTGTGGAACTTTGTTGTTTTTCTGTTTGTGGATTTTCTGCAGATGCTTTCTTGACCTTCAGAATTAAATGTTCCTCATTAAGAAAGTAAATCTGTTTGGAACCAGACTGTTTTTTTGTAGGAGAAGACGACTACAATAAATACAAAATGAATTTAATGACATGAATATATGTCATTTATACTTCATATGTGTAGTTACAGGAGTATCTATTCATTGACCCAAAATACTCATTTTAGTCTATACTTTCTGATAACTGTAGGGGAATTTGATCTGCAAGCTTAGCCCTCTTTTTTTTTTTTAGATTTTGGAGGTATAAACATTTACTTTTGCAATAAAGAGTTAAACATCTTTCAGGAGGTATTCCAACACATTTTCTTGAGGGGAATCCGCTACAGGCGAGCTGGAGATATGGGAGAAGGAAAACCAGAACTCTCATGACATGAGATGTAGGACCCTGCATCTGAGAGCAATGGTAGAAACGTCTCTTGACTTCAGAGGCAAGGATGTTATTTCCAGGAGGACAGGAAGGGCTGAAGATTCATGCTTGATTCTTGCCTTCTTGAGATTTTGTTCATTATATTTATCACTTTAGGTTCCTTTTTTTTCATCCACTGTTACCTGTATAATCTTTTCCCAGAGCCATAGAGTGTCTGAGAGTTCTTAACTCTGAAGACTTGTATTTCTGGCCCACAAGAAATACCTGTGTTTTCTGATAATATTTTACCTTATAAATACACAGGTCTATGTGACTTCTTTAGATGTATGACCATAATAGCAACTTTCCTTAGTCTAAGAGCCAGTGCATCCTGGTCTGGATAACCAGTTAATACAAGGAGGAACTCTGAGTTTCTCTTGTCCATACAAAAACCACAGACTTCACTGAGAAATCAAATTGTAGAGGAAAAATCAGACTTGAGACCTACCTAAGATGTTCATCTTAACTAGTTAAGATTAGATTAACTAGTTAATCTTCCAGGTTTTTTTCAGGATTGCATTTTTTTAGATGTGCAATGACTTTACCCATTTGCTGCTTTTTGACATCTCTAAATTACTCTTATTATCCAAGAAATACTTGCTCAAAAAGCTAGTCAGTTTGCTGGTGTAACAGCTTATACATAGGCTTATCTAATAAAGGTTTACCTTTATTCTACCCTTCCTTAGATGGTATCCAAAACTTTTATGGCATTTTTTTCTGTTCAAAAATTCATTGAGTGTCTGAAGTTCACTTCACGTGTTTTCTTGCTCTCCATTATTTCCTGATGTGGTTTTCTTCAGGTACTGTGCTATGAGTAGCAATGTGCTATGATATAATTAGAGAAGCACAAGAATACAGCAAGTGCATAGGATTTATTTTCTTTCTCTTATTCTTGTGTTATAATATCACAGGGAAAAGCTTACCACAAAACTAACTTTTTTTAATGACCAATGAGAGAGAATATTGTGAAAAAAGGTTTGTAGGAAGTGATACCATTTTGTCAGAATCCATGTGGTGGTGTTTTGTTTTTTTTTAAAAAAAAAAACAATGTCTTTCAGATACGTACATAGAGGAAAACAGTTTTGAAAGATCCCTGGAACAGGAAAAGAAATTGCTTAGCTGACAAAAATGACACAGTTTAACTGTGTGTCAATGTGATGTACTGAAAAGCAGAAAGCAGTGGAGGGTTTTAGACAGGAGGACAACTGACTCGACAGCTGATTAAAATGAACGAGGTATATGGGAGAATTAGATGGGTGTACAGAAGACCTTCAGAAAAGAGAGGAAAATGTTTCAGTCAATTTCATAGTAAGGATAATAAATGAAATATTAATATTCCCCTGGCACAGGAAAAAGTAAAAGGGTTATAATGACAGTTTGTACACAAGAAAAAAATATTTTGAACTCAGTGCAAGTGCAAGTTATGTATGTTTAAAAAAATGCTCAGGCATGTGATTTTTTCCAAAGATTGACGATAAGAAAAAGCATGTAATGCCTGAAACTTCAGGAGTAAATCACACTGTTTAAGAGTAAACAAAGAGAAGGAGGAGCAAACAACTGATACCTGTAAGATAGTATGAACAGAATATGAAAGTACAGCACTGACTGCAGTGATGTGTACTATTAGCCTGCCACTGTGTTCTTTTTATATAAATGTAGTTAGTTGTAAATAATTAAAACCTGCTGTGTTGTTGGGTTGTTTGTGGGTTTTTTTGAATTAGATTGATCAGTCCTCTGACGGCTCAGAACCATGAGGCTCTTCACTGAAATCTTTAAAAATGTCAGCTTTGTGTGCCTGCCTATTGCCGTATTTGGAAAAAGAGCTTCTTGCAGTGTCTGTTCTAATGTAATTGAAAAAAAAAAAATTAGCTGTCTTACAATAGTGTGGATTTTAAACAATTGCAAAAATTTTGTATGAAAAATATAGACAAGAATCTTAACAAATTCTTCTTTTTTCTCCTCTGCTGCTTGCCAATCCAATATGATCAGATGGGATGGTAATTAGTTTTCTTTACTTCCGCTCTTAGTTTGTCTAATTGTTATGTAATTCCTTTCTTTCCAATATTTATAATCTTAGCATCAGTAAATTTATAGCTCTCAAGAATAAAATGTTTTTGGTGCTTTGATAGCTTTTGATGAGAAATACTGGAACCATACCTCTAAGTCCAAAAAAAGAAAACAAATAAAAAAGGACAAAAGGCAAGCCTATTGTACTTGCGAAACTCCTTTTGAAAGTTAACAAGAGAAATGAGAGAAGATATTCAAGCTTCTTCTAGAATTAATAGTGTAATACCTGAAGTAGGAGGACTGATGTTAGAGAAGTAACTACTGCCCTCCTAAATCTAGTAGAGGATGACTAAAAAGAGTAATCATCCCCAAAGGGTGCTGTGCAATTGAGATAGTCCTAAAAAGCTGAGTTGATAAGCAGCACATTATGAAATTGGTTACCTGTTTTATAAATGCTTCTGTTGTTTTGTAACATTTTGGTAAATACATGTTTTCCATTTTAAGATTACTCCGGTTGAAGAAAAGGCCAGTGTTATGCCTAATTCACTACACATTTTCAACGCCATAAGTGGAACTCCGACAAGCACAACAGTTCATGGGATGCCCAGTTCTTCTTCAGTTGCATGATTTGTTTTGTAAAGGAAAGTATGTTCGTGTTTTTTTTAAAGTATGTGGATTTGCTTCATTGTGCGCAAACTCAGGATGATTTTGAAGCTAAAGGTTGGGCACGTGCAAGCTGCGTAATTCATACAAATGTTTGAGCACACTTAGCAAATAGCAGTTACTGGTAGTAGTCTTTTAGAGTAAGGGAGACATATTTTTTAATCTTGCTGGTAGCATTCAAAAGTATTCACAATGTCATTGCAGAAGTGCGTGTTGGAAAATTATGAAGTTGAAGTTAATTTCTCTTTTTCATTAGAAAGTATTATTAAAATGAATTGCACATTACAAAAAAAAGTGTTGTGGGATGTAATTTTGCAGATACGTAACATTCAGGTGTTCTTTTTGTGTATGGCACATAGAGATTGATTCCAAGTACAAGAACTATTTTGAGGCTAGACAGAGACACTAGTTTTTTGGGTTTAATGGAACTGACGATAGTAGTTTTTGTACCATTTGGCAAATTGTTGTGCTTTATTTTATACCTTGTTGCATTTTGGAGGTATGTGAGCTTAAATCTTACTAAACAACTAAATACAACCAAAGGTCTGTATTAATGAACACTGAGTTATACTAAAATATCAATAGTAGGAAGTTGTTATGTACATATTGTTTGTTAATACAGTCCATACAGTCTGTACATAAATGTATTACATTTCTAAGCATTTTTTAATATTCATACCGGCTCTTATCCTTCTGCGTTCAGTTTATTGTGAAAATTTGCTCATTCCAAGCATATGCAGACTTTACAGTTCATTTATTCCTGTATATAAATAAGTGCAATATAAATATAAAGATGTATACAGTCTTTGCTATGTTAGGTTTATATGCAGTTATTAAAAGAAAAAAACTTTTTTGCCAAAGCAACGGAGTATGTAATTGGTGATCATGGTTACTGTGGTAAATGGTGGTATAATTTAAAGCTTTTTTCCATATTCTTATTCTTTTAAGACATTAATTTAGTAATTTTATATTTGGGGAAAATAAAGGTTTTTAATTTTATTTAACTGGAAGCACTGTCCTGCTGTAATTAAACATTCTGTACTACATCTATATTAAAAGGAAAAAAGTAGTTACTTTTCTCACTGTGTGCTCTGGTTTTTATTTTAGATACGTCCCTGAGACTGGGGAAAAATGAAGGCTTAATCAAAAAAAAAAAAAAGGCTTTTTTCAGCTTAAGTATGAGATAAGATATAGACACTTCTAGGGTGTAATTCATATTCCTTGCCAGTAAAGAGAATTTGGGTTATTAGTTAAGACATCAATTTTGGACCCATCGTGTTTTACTCAAGTAGCATGTAAAGTAATGAAAGGTTGTTACTCAGCAGTACAATTCATATGAGGAAGTCTTCAAAACTTTTCATCAAATGACAGTAGGAATCATCTTTTCCTTATGATATAAGGTTTACTGTTATTTTCTGCGGCACAGCTTGAAACTCATATGTTGCCATTACTCATCAAAGATTTTTGCAAAACATAGAATCATAGAATGGTTAGGGCTGGAAGGGACCTTCAAAGGTCATCTAGTCCAACCCCCCTGCAAGGAACAGGGATATCTCCAACTAGATCAGGTTGCTCAGGGCCTCATCCAACCGGGCCTTGAACGTCTCCAGGGATGGAGCATCCACCACCTCTCTGGGCAACCTGTTCCAGTGTTCTATAACTCTCATGGTAAAAAATTTTTTCCTAATATCCAACCTGAATCTACCTCCCTCTATTTTAAAACCATTACCCCTTGTCCTATCACAACAGGCCCTCCTGAACAGCCTCTCCCCATCTTTCCTGTAGGCCCCCTTGAGGTACTGGAAGACCGCTATAAGGTCACCCCGGAGCCTCCTCTTCTCCAGGCTGAACAGCCCCAACTCTTTCAGCCTGTCCTCATAGGAAAGGCGCTCCAGCCCTCTTATCATCTTCGTGGCCCTCCTCTGGACCCTCTCCAACTGGTCCATGTCCTTCTTATGTTGGGGGCTCCAGAACTGGACGCAGTACTCCAGGTGAGGTCTCACGAGGAAAACAATTCATCTTGGTAGTGAAATGCTGGATAACTCTGCTTTTTCCAATTATGTTTCTGAAACAAAATTCCTATTTGTTTAAAATACTTTTTCTAAAAAAAAAAAAGAGTGGAAAAAAGACCCCAACCCTGATAAATACTTCTAGTCAGTGAACTCAATGCTGTGGTAAGAGACAGTCCACTTTTCCACCTCCACCCTATATGCTTTCACTTTTTGTTTGTTTGTGGAAATGGGTGTAGGAATACCTTGTTACGTATCAATGTAGTCAGTCTGGAAAGGTATTTCATTATCAGGAGAAAATATCCTGTAAAGGTTTGTCATTCAGGAAGACTTCTATATCAATATATTAATAGAAATTGTGTCCACCATGATGGCTTCTTGTAATTACCCCGCTTTTTCTAACTTTCCCTTTGTGCTGGGAGCAGAACTGACAGTTTCCTACAGTTGTACACCACCTTTTGCACTGAGCCCTCAGTTTGATGGAGTTGTACCTGCTAACCAACCTGTAAATGTAGTATGTATTCATAATTGAATATGTATCTGTATATTTATGTACATCTAAATATACGTGTAACTGTTTTGCTTACTTGCTGCGGGTTGGCCTATGCAAAATAATGAAACGTTGTTGACAAAAGGTTGACGTAGTTTTACATAGGATAGTGTTCATGATTAGCACATGTTCAACTCTAAGCATACAGGTATTTTACTTATGATCTTATATGATGCATTTATATGTGAGAACATGCCCTTTAATGTATTATTTTTGTTTTAGATATGCTCAGATTATAATTATTGGGGTTTACCTCCTGAACAATCCATTCTGTACCAGCCTCCCTTTTCTGCTGTTACTTCTGTAACATGTAAATCAAGTACCTAACATGGATTTTTTTTTTTATAAAGACTTGGGCTCTGTACTGATTTTGACTGGGATAGACTTAAATTTCTTCACAGTAGCAGATATGAGGCTATGGTTTGGATTTGATGAAAACAGCATTGGTGACACAGGGATGTTTTAGTTGTTGCTGAGCAGTGCTTACACGCATCAAGGCCTTTTCCGCTTCTCATACTGCCATGCCAGTTAGCAGGCTGGGGTGCATGCAATAAGTTGGGAGGGGACACAGCAGGGACAGCTGACCTCAACTGACCAGAGGGACATCCCGTGCTCAGCAACAAAAACTGGAGGAAGTTTGCCAGGGCAGCAGTTGCTCAGGCTGGGTGTTGGTCAGCTAGTGGTAAGCAGTTGCACTTGTTGCATCATTTGCTTTTCTTGGTTGTTTTGGGTTTTTTAATGTATTAAACTGTCTTTATTTCTACTCTTCTGATTCTCTCCTGTAGCCCACTGCAGGGGAGCGAGCGAGCAGCTATATAAAGTTAAACCACAGCGGTCCTTTTTGACACTCAATGTGGGGCATGAAGGTTTCCAGGTAGCAGATTTGACCACAGTGTGTTCAAGGGAACTTAATAATTATTATCTCTTTAACAGTTGCTGATCACAGTGTTGCTTTACTTGTTCTCGGCATTGGTTTATCTGATCGATGCCATGCTCCCTTTTTTTGGCTGCACATCAAATCTGAGAGCTCGTTAAAGGCTGTATTTGACTTTTGACATTTGCTGTGCAGTGTAGCACTTGGTTGTGCTTTGCCTGGGAGAGCTACGATAAGAGCATTGACCTTGAGCCTAATCTGGTATTTGGGCCCTGCGTTGTCGCCTTCCCTTCAGGAATCGTCTCATGAAGACAATTAATAATTGCACTTTTTTCCCTTTTCTCCTCCGAGAACCAGTTGGTGGAGGGAATGAAGAATGGCACCTGCCCCTTCTTTTCCTGCAGATTAGGTGTTTTCTCCCTTTTTACAGTAACTCTTACCTTGATCATTCTTTAAGAATTTACATAAGGTTTAACCAGCTTTACACACACATAATTGTCAAATTAATGAAAGTGAGACATCAGATTTTTTCAAGTGTATGAGGAAAAACAGATGTCTACCAGGCTAGAGCAGTTATGAGACTATATACAAGAAAACATTCAGAACCCCTGATTAAGTAAGCTTGAGCTGGCATTTAGTGTTTGAAAAAAATGAGATCAGAAGCCTGGAAGAAATCTGAACAGAAATTGGCTGCATCATTTTGCTCTAGTCAACCTCATTAGCACAACTACCAAGAGAGAGCTGAAACTTCTGATAGAGCTGTTAAGTAATATGATATTTTATTTTTTTTCCAGTGGCCTGAACTGTAAATGGAAGAGATAAGTTCCCAAGGACGTACAGATAACTGTAAGAGAAGTACCTTAGTTAAGCAAGACTTCTCAATTCATTGCTCATTCCGAAACTCAGAGCTCAGTGAACATTGCCTGGGGAGAGACAAGTCCAGAGCTGTATGTCATTTAGTGAAGCTTTAGAAGCCACCTTAACCATAGTAATCAATAATAAGGCACATAAGGAGACAAATGCCTTTTATAATTGGTCTAATAAAATGGAAGAATTGTCATCGTAACTATTTAGGCTTTGAAAAGGCCTATAACAAGAAAGAAAATTTCTGTCCGTCCATCAGCAGCCTGTTGAGGGTTTGTTGGTTTTTTTTTTTTTCAGATTGCTTAAAACTTTTCTCTCATCACCACTAGCAATAGATCCTTGTTCTGCATCCATAATTTGAAACAGCGGAATATTTTCTCATCACAGTGTGCTGGAAAACTGTAAAAATACATAAAAAAGCCTTGAAACAATTTATTTAATTGTGCTTAGAGCAATTATGTGACTGGGATTTTTTTTTTTTAATCACTTATTTACTTGAGAAAGATAACATGGGTAAGGTGACACCCTAAGCTAAACTTAACTGTTACCTGTTTTGGAGATACTGATAACTCTGAACGATAGGAACCGAAATAGAAATGAAGAGATGCACGGGCTGGCAAAGCATGAGGCAGCAGCGTGTCTGCAAAGAGCTGTGTTGCTAAAGCTCAGACATGGATGATAATTTGCCGTGCACGTCTGCGGGGGAAGATGACTCACAGCCAATAGTAAAATATGCTTATTACAACATGCTTGTAGAAAACCATTGTTCTGAACAATTCACTGCCTGTTGGGATTATAGA